CTGTGGGGAAAGGGCGGGCAAGTGAGATGCTCTGAGCCCTCACTGTTTCCTCCAGCGTGGTCCTCAGCGGCAGAAACGAGGCATAGACATATGAGCTGTTGAGCATTGCAGGGAATAAGATCATGGGCTTGGGCGTCAAGGACCTGTAGTCAGAGTGCCTGGACTATTTGCACACCCGCGGGGGCAATCCCTTCGCCTTTCTGAGCCTGTGTCTTTGCAAGGCAGGCTGGGTGAAGTATTAATACCCACGAGGTGCTTAGTAAATGGCATTATTTTAAAACAGTAGAAATGCAAGAATCAAGAAGCAGAGAGGGCCAGTCCTAATTAGTGGATACTATCGTGTGTTAAGCCCTTTATAGGTACCCCTTTACTTAATTTCACCCAAGGGGTGGATACAGGTAGTCCTATATTTCCAAGTGAGAAAGATAAGGGCTGGGTGAGTTGGGGCGGTCAAGGGTTGGTGTGGACTGGGATCGGGTGGAAAGCGCTTTCTGCTCCCCCAGTTCCTTAGAACATGTACCCTCTGGGTCTCTGGGGTATTGCTAGGGCCCTGGGAGCGCCAAGATGGCCAGGGTGCAGCATGGGCAGGGCGGCATTAGGACCAAGGGGAAGCGAAGAGCCTGCTTGGTCTATTGCCTGCAGGTGAGGGGGGCAGTGATGTCAAGGGCACGCGCAGCACGCAACGCAGCACGCAGCACGCAGCACGCAGCACGCAGCGGCCCTGAGCGTGGGAGCCCTTCGGAGCCCTTGGGCTTTGGGCTTGGGCGACATTGCTCAGGCTGGGAAACACCACTCGTGGTGTACGAGGAGCAGCCTGGCGTGTGCAAAGGCCCGGTGGCAGGAGCGAGTGGTGAGTGCTGAGGCCAGACACGTGGGCGTCGTTGGGGGGGGCGGGTATCCATAGGCCTCGTGAGTCCTCGGCGCGGGGGTAGGGGGGTTCCTCTTGAGCACGGCGGGAGCCCTGGAGGACTGGGGCTTGGCACTGCTAACCACACATGGGGTCCGTGTGTGTTGGGGGGTCACGTCAGTAATGGGAAGAAGCCGCCAGTGCAGACCGTGGAACCCAAATTTCCCATGAAGGTTGTCTGCCAACCGGGTCCCAGGGCCAACAGCGCAGTTGGGAGGGGCGGTTTGAGCGCCCGCCCCCGACCGCCGACACCATTGTTCTTGTGGGAATTGGCTTCCTGGAAAACTGTGCTTTCTGTGGGACCTTGAGGCCCTCCAGAATCAGGCCACCTCCGTGTTGAGGCCCGGGGAGTCTCTGGATGTTGGTGGTGGAGACCCCAAGCCACCTTCTTCGGGGCGCCGCATGTCCTCCCCCAAAGCTGAGACCGGCTCTGCCCAACACAGGTGGCCAGCGGGGCCTCTGCTCCAAGAAGCCCTGCCCTACGGCACTGTTAGATCCAGGCGTGGGTTTTCTGACTGACGCCTGCCCAGGGCTAACTGCTCCAGACCTCTGTCCCACTTGGGAGTCCACACTCTGTCCCAGCGCTGGGGGAGGCGGGTCCTGTGGCTGTCCCTGCCTTGCCTAAGCCATGTCCTATCCCACCCCTTCCCCAGGGTTGCCCAGAAGGCGAGAAGCCTAAGGCCATCTTCCTGTGCGTCCCTGCCTTAGCCAAAGGTTCTGAATGGATCGGGTCACCCCAGGCTTCCCATCACACTGCCATCGCCCCCTGTGGTGACCTGCAGGGTCTCCTCTGGCCGGCTGCCCTCCGGCCCTGGCCCCCCATCCCTCCAGCCGCCCTGCATTTGCTTCCACTCCGTCCTTGCCCCCTCCGGTGCACCAGCCTTTGCTCTGCAGTGGGCTCAGCTGGTCCCCAACCCAAGATGGCCTTGGCGCTTGCGGTTCCCTCAGCGTGGAATACGGTTTCTGGACCGGCTCCTCCTGTCATTCCGGGCACGATTTCAGTGTCACCTCGGAGGAGCCTTCCTGATCTCTCTTTCTAACAGAGTCCCACCCCACCGTCCAGTCGCCTCGTTGAGCTGTCACTACTTGGAATGTTCTCGTTCCTTTATTTCCCGCTGTGTTACTTACTGTCCGAAGCCCTGGGGGTCTGGGTGTGAATGCCACCAGAGCAGGGACCCCGTTCATTCCTGGATCCTTTGGGCCTGGAGCAATTCTTGGAAGCTAGTAGTCGCTCAGGGAATGTGTGTTATACGGAGCTCAGCTATCACTGAGCCCCGATGTCTTGCCAGCTTCTGCGCGCCACCCAGCCAGATGTTTAGCTCTCCTCCTGCCCTGGGGGTGGGGGGAGGCAGTGACAGTTCTGCTCATAAGCTTGGGGCGATGGATGGATCGATCCAGCAGGTGGGGAGGTGAGACGTAGGAATGTGCATTTTCTCAGGATTCCTCCTCTGCTCTGAGAAACCAATTGCCTCTAGAATGCCACGGACCTGGGGGTGAGTCTTGGCTGTCCCTTTTGAGCTGTGGGACCCTGAGTGGTTCTACTTCTCTGAGCTTCCATTTCCGCATCTCTGAAAACGGGGATCAGAGTCCCCAGCCCAGGGCTAGCTCGGGTGCAGGTCCAAGGCTGTCCTGGCACCTGTCCCCCCCCCCAACCCCCGCAGGCCCCTGAGCTGCCACTTTCCCGCTCTCTGCCTGCCCGCCATGCCCAGCTCACCCCCTCCGAGGGGGGGGATCCCTCAGCCGCACCTGGGTCCCTCCACCCCCGACCCTGCCCCCGCCTCGCACCAACCCTCCTCTCACTTTTCATTCTTGTAAATTGACGTCAGTGCTGCTGAATCATGAAGCTGAGGTTTGAGACAGCATCCCCACCACCAGCAAAGCCGCATGGCACACACAGCACCTCGGCTGCACCTCCCCCCTCCCCTCCTCCCCTCACCCCCCCCCACCCTGCTTTTCCTCTGCGGCTGGGGTGTGTGCACAAGATCGCAGTCACACTGGGCGGAGCACGGCGTTGGGGGGGTTAGGTCACTTTAGGTCATTGTACATATGTTAGTAAAGATTTAAAAAAAAAAAAAAAGAGAGACGGACAAAGAGAAGGGGCCACAGCTCTGGGGAGTGTGATCGGAGGGGCCTTTATTCCTAGCCGTCCTGCTCCAGGTTTTTAAGGGGAATGGGTTTGTGCCGTGAGGATGTTAATTTTTAAAACTTTTCTAAGAAGGATGAAAGAGGCCTGAAAATATTGCAGACAAATTTGTTTCTCTTTAGACAAGGACCTGTTTCCTCATCTGTGAAACGGGGATGTTAGCAGTACCCGGATCCTAAGGCTGGCGGAGGGGGAAAGGTTGAGTGTTTTCATATAGGTACTAGGGGTTGGAACGGCTTCTGCAGAATAATACGGTTTATCAAGGGGGGTGCCTGCTACGCCTTAGGCCCTCCCTGGGAGGCTGTGTTGCCCAGTGGTACCCAGCCTCTGGAACAGTACCAGATTTCGAAAATCTGGTTTCACCACTTAAGTGTGCCCTGCTTTGCCTCTCATGAGTGTCAGTTGTCCTGTCTGCAAAATGGGAGAGAGATTTCTAACTCACAGGTGGGCTGGGAAGATTAAACAAGGTAGCACAGGACCCCCCCCCCCCACAGACAGTAAGTGCTCACTAAGGGTCTGCCGGGTGCCCAGGCAGTGCCTTCTTGGACCTCTCCCTGTTTCTCCTGGCACTACCCAAGCTGAGGGGGTTGGGGAGGGTGAGACAGGAAAGTCAGCCGAAGGACGAAGGACAGGGCTTGATCCGCACAGCAGTGAACAAAGGGCAGGGAGGTGGTCAAGAGAAAAGCAGTCGTTCCTTAGAGGCCCAGAGAGAAGACGTCACCTCCTTCCCTCCCACCCCACCTTCTTAAAGGATGCAATTGCCGAAGCTCTCTGAGATCCTAAATCTCTCCCAGCCGTCCTTAACCTTGAGGCCTGGAACCTATTTAATCCCCCGGACAGGCCCGGGCTGTTCCAGTTCTCGATAACGTTAATTTTATGTTGTACTTTCAAGCCTGAAAGGGTATTATTAAATATTAGGACACTCCATCATCAGCATGTCCAAGGCTGCCTAGGGCCAGTCCAACTTCTAAAAATGAACTGCAACTTGTCCCTGAGGATGTTTCACCCCAAACCCGAAAGTGAGTTCACCCAGTGTGGCCGCCCAGCCCCCCGGGGTCGCCAGTGTGGCTGACCTGTCAGGCAACGGACCAGGGAGTAGCCATAGAGCCCGTGTCATGGGCACTTTCTGGCGACGTGGGCCAGCCCCACTGTGCCCTGCAGCCAGTCTCCCCTCCCGAGAGCTTCCCCTCGTCCCTGTTGCCCGGCAAGCACCTCCTCCAGCAAACCCATTTTAGAGGTAGACACTGAGGCCCTGAGAAGCAAAGGGAATTGCCCACAGCCGCTTGCAGGGCCCTCCTGCCACCACAGACCGCAAAGCGTTTTTTGGGCTCCGAGTGTTGTGTTCACCAAAAAGTACACGGAGAGAAGGGGACAGGAAGGATGAAGTCAGGCCCAGCCCTCGATCCCCATCCCACCATCTGAAATCTGTCTCTCTCCACGCCAGTTTCAGAATGCGCCGCCACTCCTTCCAAAAACTCATCAAGCCCCCACCTCCCCCACCTTCTTCCTGGAAGGTGCTGTGGTCACAGAATGAAAGAAGTTTCCTCTCTGTCATCCATTTCAAACACATTCTGGGTGGATGGCCAAAAAAGGCCCCAGTGTTGTCTCTGACACAGGCAAATGGACCCTTGCCTTGGTTTTTCTCGTCTGTAAAAAATGAGGATAGGAGTCTTGCTTCATAGGGTTGTCTACTTTAAGCCCACGGAAGGCAGAAGAAGGTTTGGCACACTTTAAGTACTCAAAACACCAACTGCCATTTACCCCACACCAATTACCCAAACCAGCTGCTTCTCTCTCCCTGAGAGCCGGGAGTGGAACCAGGCAGGTTCCCCAGCCCCAGGACCTGGGTCCCACTCCCTTCAAGCCACACAGGTCCGTTGTCGGCCCCCTCCGCCCTGGACCCACTCACAACCAAGGGAATCCCCTGAACCAAGCACATGCTCTGGAAACTTTTTTTTTCTTTAAAAAAAAAAACTTTCATAACAAAGTTTATTACCTAAACTGGCTGTAAAAAATATAAAATAGGATTCTGCACAGCAGAAAAATAAAGCCAGAGACCCTCCCCCAACCCCTGGTTTGTGCAAAAATACTGGGTGTATGTAAACATGAAGAGGTAGGAGGTACAAATTCAGGTCCTGGCCCCAGATACAGTTAAGCTGCTACAACAACCAGGGGGGACCCAGAGGGAGCACCAGGAGGAGGGGCACCCCCCCAAGAGATGGGGAGGGGTCTGTGGCCTTGTCTGCGGGGGGGAGAGGGGGAGGCGCCTCGCCCCCACGCCCCAGCTCCCTCCAACCTGGGTGGGGAGGGCACCCACGTGGTTCCAGGGAAATAATAATAATACAAAATAATAACAAGGTGCTCGAGTTAATGCTGCGTGCGCGGCCGGTCAGATCTGGAAGGGGAAGGAGCTCAGATAGTCGCGCAGGACGGGGTTGAGGGGGATGCGCGCCAGGTTCTCGCGGCCCACGGTGGCCACGATGCGCTGGCGACACAGCTCCTGCAGCGGCCGCACGCGGCGCTGGCGCAGCGGGGCCCCGAGCATGCGACGCGGCGCCGCCACGTAGTGCTCCAGCAGCTCGAAGAGGCAGTCGAAGCTCTCGCGGCTGCCGTCCAGGTGGAAGCGGCCGGCCTGGAAGTGCACGCGGATGCTCGTGGGGCCCGAGGCCATCTTCACGCTGAGGGCGAAGAAGCAGTTCCGCTGGCGGCTGTCGCGCACCAGGAAGGTGCCCACGGGCTCGGCGCGCAGCCGCTCGTGCGCCCCGTGCACGCTCAGGGGCCCCCAGTAGAAGCCGCAGGCGTCGAGCAGCGCGCTGGCCCGGGTGATGCGCCGGTAGTCTGCGTGCGAGCGGAACGTGCGGAAGTGCGTGTCGCCGGGGGCCGGGGCCGGGGCCGCCGGGCAGGGCCGCGGGCGCGCGGGGGCCGCGGGCGCCGCGGAGGACGGGGACGAGGACGAAGACGAAGACGAGGAAGGCTCTGGCCGCCGTCGGGACTCTGCTGCCGTGGAGATTGCATTGTCGGCTGCCACCTGGTTGTGTGCTACCATCCTACACGCGGGGCCAGCCGGAGGGGTGGGCCATAGCGTCCGGGGGTGCGCTGGGGGGAGACACGGGCGGGTGAGCCGAGAGGCGGGGCGGGCCCGGCGCCGGCGGGGGAGCCGACCCGAAAGGGCCGAGGGCGCAGGACCGAGTCGGCGCCGCCGCCGGGAGCTTTCGCGGGCTCACGCAGAAAATGGGCCTCCCGGTCCGCGGAGCCCTCCGGGAGCGGGGCGGGGAGCCGGGCCGGGGCGGAGTCCGCCGCCGGCTCGCTCGGAGTTTGGGTAATAGGGGGGCGTGGAGAGAGGTGCGGGGAGAAACGTGCCCCGACTCCGGCCACCCAGCCCTCGGCTCGCCGCCCCGCGGCCGCCGCCTGCTGGCCAGGCCGGGGACTGGCGCCTCGTCCGAACGATTGGGCAAAGACAGAGAAGCTGCGCTGCGGGAACCCCGCGCGCGGGGGGCTGCCAGGGTGGGGCCGCCGGGGGCCAGGGGCGTGGCGGCCGCGACCCCATCACGCAGCCCCCGAGGCCCGCCCGACCCTCGCCCGTCCTTTCTTGTGTCCTGGGCTGTCTGGTCCTCCCTTCTCCCTCCCGCTTCTTTGCCTAGTGCCGGGCTCACCTGGCGGCGGGGCGCGGGGCGCCGCGGGCGGGGCGGCGGGGGGCTCCGGGGCGGCTCTCGCGCATGCTCCGGGGCCGGGAGCCGTGCAGCTGCCACGGCCGCAGCTCGCTCTGCTCCGCGCCCGCCCCTGCACCAGTCTTTTAAACTGGCCGGGAGGGGTGGCCCGCCGGCGCTGGCGGTCCCGCCCCCTTTAGGCTCCACCCCTCTCCGACTCCGCCCTTCCACGCCACTTTCGGTTTCTTTTTCCGCGGTGGCGCGGCGCTTGAGCTGCATAGGCTGGACCTTTTGCATACACTTGGGGACCCTCTCCGGGGGCCCCTTCCTCCCCTGATCCAGCCCCACAGTCGTCCTAGGACCCTCCTTCAAGGGCTCTGGTCCCGCCCCTGGACCCGCTCTCCCTCTGCGATGCCCCCGCCGCACCTGGAGCCCCCACCTGTGCCCCGACTACTATCCTGGATCGGAGACTTCTGCAGCCAAGCTGCAGACACCCCCCTCCTCCGCCCTCCAGGTGCCTCAGCACCCGTCTCCCGTAGCTGCTCTGGCCTCTGTTCTCCCCGAGTCAGACCCCTCCCCACCCGGCTCTGGGGTCCTGCCTGCGACGCCGGACCCCTCGGGGCTGCTCGGGGCTGCTCACACAGCCGCCTGCGCCCGCAGCCCTGAACGCTCAGGCGGCTGCCCCGCACCCCTTCTAGCCTGTCGCTTGCTGTCCCTGGTCTTGGCTTGGGCTTCCCAGGAAGCGGTGGCCTGACCACAGGCTTCGGAGGAACCCTTCGGCGGCACGAGAAGGGCGCCTCGACTGCGGATCCGAGTTCCTCGGAAACCGGGTGGGGCCGTCAAGGTCCCCAGCGGTCTTGGCTCGAGCTCCCTGCCGGAGAGCAGCTGGAGAAACTGAGGCCCTGGGGAGGGGCTGTGATCTGCAGTGACTGGCAGTTGGGGAGCTCTGGACCACCGTGCCCTCCTCCTCTCTTATTTTGGGGAGAGGAATGGCTGGGCCCCTCCAAACGCACTTTGGAGCCCAGTGAAAAGACGGTTCATTGATGTGATGATTCTACAAACGTACTTTGACTTTTCCTCGCCTGCCCTCCTGTCCCCCATCCCCCACCTTGTAGAGTCCCCTTCCGCTGCCAGGTTAAGTATCTGTCCCCACCTGGCATTCATACCTGTGGCTTGGGACCCGGGAGGCTTGAAGGTGCTGGCAATAATTCGTACATTTGAGCGTGTGATCCCGTGACCCTGTCTGTCGTGGCAAGGCATGCCTTAGGTGCCTGGCTCGTATGTGTATTTTTGAAGGAAAGAAAGAACAAATGAGGGTTGGGGCTAGTAGTCTCGGAATCACCCTGGGTTACACAGAAGACAGGCCAGGCTGAGGGGCTTGGCCAGCGGCTTCTCCCCGGCAGACACACACTGCCCTCTAGGGGCTGCTCTCAGGCTGCAGCCCAGGCCTCTCGGAAGTCCTGATGGGTGCCAGGCCCTCCAGCCTAGCCTGCCTTCTTGGCGCTTTCCTTCCCTGGCCCCAGACTGCCTGTGTTTCCTCTTGGACGTCGGGGGGTGACCCAGAGCCAGCCTTGCTTAGGACCCCATCAGCTCCCTGGGTACGTGTTGGCAGCTGGCGTCTGTCATTGATGTCCTTGTCCTGGGTTGAGAGTGTGTATGTGTGTGTGGGGGCGCGTGCGTGCTCTGGTATGCAGGGTGGTGGGAGAGGGGATGGACGGGCGTGCGTGTGCCGGTGGTCAGGTGCTCTGGGCCCTCCAGAGCTCTTGCTGGTGTTGTGCCCTGTGGTGGGTGATGAATAAAATAGAAGGTAGTGGTTAAAAGACAGATCTTGGACCCAGGCTACGTGGACTCCAGTTCAGGCATACACCTCTCTAGTCCTGTGACTCTGAACGGGTGATTACCCCCCTGCCTTGGTTTCTCCCTCTGTGATACAGAAAACAACCTCCTTCCTGGGGCAGGGATTAAAGTGAGCAATTCTGGGTCAAGGGCTTAGATCAGCTACTAGTTAAAGTAAGCCTTCGGCAGGGGTCTGCTCTGGCTGTTGTGCCTCCGAGGGTGCGAGTGAGCGTGGCAGCGTGCTGGAGCCCTTACGCATGTGGCTTCATATCTCGGGCCCATTCTAGAAGCCCTGTCCCCAGGAGCACAGGCCAGAGAAGGCATGGGCGGAGTTTTGTGGGGATAAACCAGGCCCCTGGATGCTGGCAGTGGGGAAGGGTAGCACCTCCCCCTCACTGGAGCTGGGGGCAGTGGTCCAGGCCCAGAGGAGGCCAGCAGGCTGGGCTGGCTCCTGCAAGACTTGTCTTCCTGCCAGCCCGTCTCCTCCGCAGGCCTCTGGGCGGAGGGCAATCCATAATAGCTAACCGTCCGTTTGCCCCCCAACCCCCATAACCCCCCTTGACAGCGTCCATGGCTACACAGGAGAGTCCTCACTTCTCATGCGGACGGGGCCCCCTTTTCACGCCCCCCCCCCCTGCCACACTCCCACCCCCCCCTCCTTCATTGCCTTTACTGTGTGCTAAATGCTGACTGTGTGCTAAATGCTGTACAGTCCTTAGATCACTGGATTGGCACAATGATCTGCTCTGTCCATTTTACAGATAGAGAAACTGAGGCTCCGAAGGGGAGTCCCTTGCCTGGGCGCACACAGCTCAGAAGGGACAGAGCTGAAATTCCTATCTAGGATGTCAGAAAGCTCTAAAGCGTTCGCCCTTGTCTCCTGTGCTGTAAACTCCCTCCCCCCAAGTCCTGGTGATCTCAAATCCTGGTCTGTCTGCTAGAAAAAACCGTAGACGCCAAAAAAAAATTAGAGATTAATTTGCATCCGGAGCCTGCTTTGGGAGGGGGAGGGGGATAGCTCTGCTGGGTTCCCTTTTTGTTTATGAGCTTGAGGAGGCCCCGGGTCTCGGCATCCAAGCCTCCACCTCCCCCTTTGTGGCTCTGAGTCCATCTCCAAGTATCCGTGACCTTGCCTGTCCGTGACTTTGCCTGTACAGTGTCCCTCTCCTCCCAGCTGACCAGCTCCTGCTTGTGAAAGCCATGGTGAGTCAGGGGCATGTCGCCGAACACACGTGGGTTCTCCTCACCACCAACAGTGACAGTTACTCTGGCTTTGGTTTCATTTTCTGAAGCCCTGAGTTCAGAATGAAACCGCATCCAGACGCCAAAAAGAAAAAGGAAATATGCTGATTGAGGACCAGCTGCCTCTCCCTGGACGGGTACCAGGCTTGCAAGAATGGGCTGCATTCGGACTCTATGCCCGCTGCTTCCCAGCTGTGGGACCTTAGGGAAACAGCTTGCCATCTCTGGGCCCTGTTTGCCCCATCTGCAGAACAGTCCCTGGAAGTTTTGTACCGTACTGAGCAGCAAAGCACACAGAGCCCAAAGCAGATTGCCAGGCACAGAGCAAGGGCTTAGCACAGGTGACTTGTCATAGGGCAGTTGAGACCACCTGCCGTCTGATATGCGGGGTGGTCCTCCTCCCCTCTGGGCAGCCTAGAAGTGAGGGGCCCAGCCAGCTGCTGTGGGGAATCCAGATCCTAGCACACACGGCTTGGTTTTTTTGTTTCTCTTTCCTGCTTTGGCAGTTCTGCTGGGAAAAGCCAGTACTGGCCAGGACAAGCAATCCTGAAATTGTCCTCTGTTTCCTGCTCCTCTGTCCTGGCTGCCTCTGACGTGTGGGGCTGCCGAGCTTCCCAGGGGAATCTGTGCCCCTGGAGAGCCCCGAGCAACAGGACTAAGTTTAAATCTGTCCCTTAACAAGCATGCAGCTGGAGGCAAGCTTCTTAGTTTCTCTGTGCCTCAGTTTTCTCCTTTGCAAGATGGGGGTAAGAATGCCTATTTCCCTCCTTTAATATTGATTCCATAGGGATTTGTTGAGTGCTTCCTGTCTGCCAGGCTCTGGGAATTCAGGAGTCTTCAAGCGTAGAGAAGGCCATGAACTCACAAGATCGTTTGGGATTGTGGTCAGTACTGTGGGGGAAATAACCATGGAGAAAGGGATTTGTGAGCTTGGTGCAGGAGTGAGATCAGGCAGTCAGAAAAGGTCTTTTGGATGGTGACAGAGTTGAGGTTTTTCTAAAGGCAGGCTGAAGAAGACTGCAGGCAGAGAAAGCAGCTCATGCAAAGGGCCTGTGGTAGGAACAGGCATGCCTGAGGACCAGAGAGAGGCATGTGACACTGTTGTAGAGAGCAAGGGGGTGAGTGCAGGGGTGAGGCATAGAGGTTGGTAGGGGTCCAGTCCATCAGGCAGGGCCTTGCTGAGAGGCGACAAGAGCTGGAGACAGTCCTTAAGGCCTGGAAAACACTATAGGATTAGGTGTGAAAAGAGCCCCCTGGCTATTGACCTTCCAGAGAGCTGGGTCTTGAGCCACAGTGACTCACGGTAGAGGCCTTGGGCACCCCTCACAACTGTCCCTGACCCGCCGGGGTGTCACCACACGATCTCCTGAGATGGGTGTGACGCCGGTTCCAAGGAACAGTTGGGACAACTGTAGGAGAGAGCGTGGCGTGGGTGGAACTTGGATCAGGTGTTTTGGGGAGGCCGAGTCCCTCTCAGAGGCCTCGGGCTAAAGAGCCTGCCTTGTTGTCTGGGGTAGAACCTGGGCCCAGCGCGACCCATCAGCGGGAGTGACTGTGCATCCGGGGGCAGGTGTGTGCCGCCTTGAGTCGGAGGAGAAAGTTCTTCCTTAGGACAGAGGAGGCCAGACGGCCAGGAGTGTTGACTCCAAAGTGATGATAGCTAGGATGGCTCCTCCTGGTCCTGGGGAGACTGGATGAGAACCTTCCAGCATGTCACCGGTGAAGAAAGAGATGGGTCAGAGGTCACATGCCGTCAGGATTAAGCCGCATCGTGAGAGCAGCGGAGGGCCGGAGAGGGGAATTCCGAGAGCCCTGGCTGTGAAGTCCGGACAGACCCGCTTGTAGGCCCAGGCTGCCCCCACCACTCCCACCAGCGCTCTGCCTTCAGGCAGGTGGACTTAATGGGGCGGCCCCAAGAGCAGCCCCACACACTCCAAGCATGGCAGGCCCAGCGCTGTTTTCATCAGTAAATCCCTCCGGACCTTGCTCGAAGCCTACTCATTCTGTGTTTACCCACCATTCGAATAAGCCGATCTGGTTCCCGCCCTG